GGGGGGGGGGGGAGAGGGAGAGGCGAGCAGAGGGTGCTAGTGATTGTGGTTGTGTGTGTGCGTGTGTGTGTGTGTGTGCTGTGTGTGTGTGTGTGCTGTGTGTGCTGTCTGTGTGTGTGTGTGTGTGTGTGTGTGATGGGGTGTGTGCTGTGCGCGCGCGCATCCCCCACCTGTACTCGCGAATCTCCCGGGCCAGCGCCTCGTCCACGGGCCTGTTGAAGGCCACGATGCCGCCAAACGCGCTGATGGGGTCGGCCACCACCGCCAGGCGGTACGCCTCAAGCAGGTCGCCGCGGGAGGCCACGCCGCAGGGGTTGGTGTGCTTCACGATCACGCAGGTGGGCTCCTGAGAGAGTGCATGTGTGTTGTATTGTGGCGCGTGTGTGTGTGTGTGTGTGTGTGTGTGTGTGTGTGTGTACACGCACGCGTGCATACCCGAGCACGAATAGGTAAAATTAGGACACATCCCGGGCAAACTTTGCACCGTGAAGTCGCAGCACGCGCTGTAAGCTGCGTCAGCGTCCAGGTAGTTGTTGTAGGACATCTCCTTGCCGTTGTGCTGCACGGACGTGGCCACGCCGCCGGCGCCGGCCTCGGCAAGGGAGTCGTCCACGTAAAAGGCGGCAGCCTGCAACAGGTGTTGCGCGAAACAAAGGCGGCAGCTTGGAGGCACGCGCGCGGACGGGGCCGCGGGTTGCGAGGGCCCCCCTATTTACGGCACGCGGGGACGAGTTGGACAGGGGGAGGGCGGCAGGCGCGCGCAGGCGGGCGGCTGCGATGGGTCCTTGGAGCCGCGCTCCGCGGGGCCGTCCGTCTGGCCGCCTGCACCTCAAGTCCCGCCCTTTTCTCCTCTGATGCAGCCCCCTCGTGACACTTGAGCAAAGCTGCGGTCACATCAAGCCGCCCCCTGCCCTGCCCCCCACCTGGTGCGGGTTCTCGCCGTAGCGCAGCGTCTGGGACAGCGTCATGGGCACGCTCAGCGCCGGCGCGGGCGCGCCGCCGCCCACCTGGCCCCACAGCCACTCGGCCACCTGCCGCGCCGCGGAACGCGCGGGGTCGGCCGGCGGGGATGATTGGATTTGAGGCCCTCCAAGGCTTGAGCAAACACGCCTCCTGTCCGTTTAAGACGCTGAAAACGCCACCCCACCCTGGTGATCGTGCGTCTCCCAGAAGGTGAAGGCCCCCTCTTTCTCGCCTTGATTCCTCCCATTCCCGCCTTCTTTATTTCCCCCATCCCAACTTTCTAGATTTCCCTCATTCCCACATCACGCTGGGCCGCACCCACCTGCGAGTCGTAGGACGCGGTGTGCTGGTACGCCTTCCATGCGAGCCGCTTGCGGAACGCGAGCGCCTCCTCCGGGGCGGCGTCGCCCCCCAGCGCCGCGAGGAGCTCGTCGTAGTCTGACGGGTCCACCACCACCGCCACGTCCTGCGGAAGATGAAGAGTTCGCAATTTTGGTTGCAGTGCATCAATCTGTTGCATCGTGTCGGGTTTGGTTTTAGGTGGGAAAAGCGTGGCGCAGCGGCCAGGGCTCGGAACCAGTGCGGAACAGTGGGCGAGGGGTCGGCAGCCACCCTTGTCACCCGTGTCAGCACCCGTGTCAGCACCCGTGTCACCCGTGTCACCCCCACCTGGTGGTTCTTGGCCGCCGCCCGGATCATGGCGGGGCCGCCGATGTCGATGTTCTCCACGCCCTCCGCAAACGGCGGCGGCGGGTCGCGCGTCACCGTCGCGCGGAACGGGTACAGGTTGACGACCACCTGGGGGCCAGCCAGGGGGCGGGGTGGGTGGTTGGGAAGTTCAAGGGGCGGGCAGGGGGGCGAAGGTTTCAGGGCTTGTGAGATGCTTGGACGTCCCTCGCCCGCACCCTGCGCCCAACCTGCGCACGCAGCCACCTGCTGCGGCGCCGCCAGTGGCGG